TTTGGACAAAGACAAAAGTGGTGTGAAGGCAGGTTGTCGGTCTTGCAATCCTGATCCTTGCACAAGTAGGCGGGGTTGCAGAAGGAATCGCTGTTATGCACTTCCAGGCATTTATCACATGCTCCCAGCTTTCTAACAGCTGCCTTCTTCTCTTCAGTCCTTAGACCTCGGAACTGTTTGCAGAAATAAAGTTTTTTCTTGTGCTTTTGATCTCCACAGACAACACACATAGCTAGTTCTTGTTTAGTAGATCTGGTTCTGGTGTTTTTGAACTCGGATTTGGTTTCCTTTCTGCCCGACTCATCTTCACAGAGCTGATCGAGTTGTTCATAAATTTTTTCCTGGTCCTTGAGGAAATCTAACAGACTATCGAAACGATTGTCTGGTGTTACACCATTCTTCTCTTTAGCGACGTGCATCAACCATTCCTTTTTGAGTGCTGTAGGAAGTTTGCTTTCAATGGACTTTGTTACTAGTGGGTTTTTAATAGCACCAGTATCTCCAAGGTCACTTAAATCCAAAAGAGCCTTTTCCACCGCTTGAATCAATTCAACGATCCTCCTTGGTTGATAATTCCTTACAGGTGGAATTCTTTGAAGTTCCTCTACTATTTCAATAGCGATAACCGTTTGGTTGCCGAAACGGTTCTCCAAAACACGAAGGATTTCTTCTACAGTGTGATAAGTGTTAAGATGAAGGTTTCTTGTTATTTTCTCATCAAGACTGTCCAGTAACTGAAGCTTCTTCACCTCCTGAGAACCAGTTGGTTCACCCTGCTTTTGAAGGGCTTCCCACTCCTTCCTCCATCTGTGAAAGTCTCGTTTATTTCCTCCAAACTTAGGCAGAGCCACTGGCTTTAGTTTAATAGCAGGTGTTGTAAGATGTGTGGGTAAAGTCATCACCCTTTCTTCTGAATCCCTTCTTTTTATGAAGTCAGCCTTTCTGGAGATTAGCCTTGGGATTGTTAGTTCAAGAGCTTTGAACCGACCCTGAAATTCTTCTTGGTCATGCGATGGAATCCACCGCTTCCACTGGGCATATAATTCTTTTCCAGATCGTGCCACATCTTGTAAGTGAGTGAGAATGAGGTTATATGCCTCCTGGCTGCTATCTGGACTCACAGCGGCGGCACGTTCACACTCGGTTTCTGCTATTTGGAATGCTGTAGTCAATTCAGTGTATCCAAAATTATCCCACAAAGCATTTAGAAGAAGGGCTTTACTTTCTGTAAGCTTTGACTCGCATTCCTCTGCAGTTTTTTCTATGTCGGCCTTTTGTTGTTCTGTTAACGCTACATCCCCTTCAGAGTCCAGCTCAGCCTCCAACTTTGCGATGAGTCCCGCCTCCACTTCATCATTTGCAGTCATTACTTTCTCAGCCTGCAAGCTAAGCTTACTGAAGCTGGCTTTGAGCTCTTCCTCAGACATATCCTTGTATGTTCTGGTTATGGTATTAACCAAACGTGAGAAAGATCTTTTTGCTGATGTTCTCTCGGCCTTCAGTTGTTCAACGGATTTCTCTGACTCATCCATTTCGATTCTTCTTTGTTGATGCGTAGAGACCGGTTTTTCACTGTTAAGTTCCTCTGTTAGGTGACACAATCCCCACTTAACAGGGATCATCTACTGGAGAAATACGCAGGATTCCACTCAGGACTTCATGGCTTCACTTTTCATTTTCCTTTATTTCACTTCCGTTTCATATTATCCAAGACGGAAATAGGGGATGACGAAGCACGAAGCAAGGCAAAGCCTACGAGCAGGTGAAAAACCTTAAACAAAAACATTGTGTGTGCTAAGAAACAGTGTAAATTGTGTAACATTTCATTATAAACAGCCATTCATAAAATGTGTGATTTCAATGTGATATTCATTTATAAATGTTAGCACGAATATATATATATATATATATATATATATATATATATATATATATATATATATATATATATATATCATTAATTCATTCGGATATATCATTAATTCATTCGGATATATTAATTCATTCGGACCCAAACTCACTTAAATTCATCACTTCAGCTATTTGTTTCACTCTTACATAACAACATCAAATAATGAGCAGGTTTGAAGTAACTTATTAACAATCAAACATCAAACTGACTTCTAAACACCCGACACAAACATTTATGATGCGCACCGGAGACCACAGCTCCGAGCTGCGCTTAACATCACACATCAGCTGATCGGCATGCGCACACGCGTTACAAATCTGCGTCTTACCGGCTGCCTTTCCAGTCTTTAGATGAGTGTCATTTACCGCTTCGGAGGATCACCACGTTAGTGCTTCCTCTAGGAACTTTCACAAACAGTTCTCTCTCCTGACATATCCTACATAAAACATTTCAAGCAGGAAATGCGCGGTGACGTTCTGAGACGTGAAGCGACGCGCGCACTGACCTTAATTAGTTCCAGCTGTTTCATCTACCACCTACCCCGTGTGTCTTATTTATTTTCTTTATTTTTACATATTTTTTCCATTCTTTTTTATATTTTTATTTTAGTTTTTATTTCAATCTAAATATGCTGTATGATCATGATTTTGACCGCACAGTGATGAATCTGATTATTTAAAGCTGAGCTCAGGTCCACCAGCATCGCTTCAATAGAACTTGTTGCAAAATACATAATTTGCTCAAAGATCTCAAAAAGCAGCATGCCATCTTGAGAAAGTCAAGAACAAAGAAGAAAATGATGAAAATTACCAAACAAAAGCCTCTGCTGATCAAAAAAAAAAAATAAAACTCTTAAGATGAAAAATGCGAGAGTGGAACTTTTTGGAGGGTGTGTGTCACATTTTTATCAGGTGTTATTTTCAGACAGACAGGATCGTGTGGTGGTAGTGTGATGGTCTGGGGTTGCTTTGCTGCTTCAGTTCCAGTTTCTGTAATTAATGGTAACATGAATTCTGCTCACTGGCAGAAATTTGTAAAAGAGAATGTCAGATGTTTAACTCTCAATCTAAAGAACAGTATATGTGGACCTAAAATCCTCCGCGATGAGGAACTCATCCAGGTTACCACAAGCATGTTGTTGCCTCCAGTTATCTTACAAAAGGATGTCAGATTTAGGGGTCAACTACTGTTTCACATAGAGCCAGGGTGGTTTTAGGTTTATTTTCTGTCAATAAGGCAACGGTCGCTCAGGTGGGTTGCAGGTTCAAACCCAGGCTCCAGCAGCCATGTCAGTCGTGTCCTTGGACAAGACACTTCCTCCTCCTTGCCTGCTGGTGGTGGTTAGAGGGACCGGTGGGGGCTGCTTGGCAGCCTTGCTTCCGTCGGTGTGCCCCAGCGCAGCTGTGGCTATAATGTAGCTCATCACCATCGTGTGTGAATGGATGAATAGTACAGGGGTATTCAGGTTTTTTTGCTTGTAACTGACAATAGTCTAAAGTTTATTTATAAGACCAAAAACAAAACAAAACAAAAAAAACTTGAAAAGCATCAAAATATGTATCAAATCTATTTAAGGTATGATATACTTTTTTATGCCTCCTAGTTTTATAAAACTTTAATATAAAAATAAAAATAAATGAATCTTCACTTCAATAAATGATTGCATGTTTATTGTATTACTGAGTAGACACATTTGAAATGTAAATACCTTGAGTGGGATGAAATCAGCAAGTGTGCGTTTCTTACCTGGGGAAGATGGATGGATGCTTTATGGGAGGTAACCTCCAGCGTTGGACTGATTGATGTAGATTCAAAACCACTTTATTATTGCTTAGAGCCTGCACGGTAATACTCTCACCTGCTTCTTATTCTTTGGAGTTTCTTATGTTACACTGCCAGGCCAAAAAACAAGTCATCATCAAAAAATCTGGACTCTGTGGTGGCCAATCCATGTGTGAAAATGATGTCTCGTGCTCTCTGAACCACTCTTTCACTATTTGAGCCAGATGAATCCTGGCGTTATCATCTTGGAATATGCCCGTGCCGTCAGGGAAGATGGAATAACCTGGTCATTCAGTGTATTCAGGTAGTCAGCTGACCTCATTCTTGGAGAACATCCTGTTGCTGACCCTAGACCTGACCAACTGCAGCAAGCCCAGATCATAGCACAGCCCCCACAGGCTTGTACAGTAGGCACTAGGCATGGTGGGTGCATCACTTCATCTGCCTCCCTTCTTATCCTGATGCACCACTCTGGAATAGGATCCATCTGGAGTCATCAGACCAGTTTTAATAATACGTTGGACAGTTCTTAACCCAGTTTTAGTCGTTTCTCTGATCTCCTTAGATGTTTTCTCTGCTTGATGCCGATGATCTGACCCTTCTCAACTGGACTAACATCTTTTCCACGGCCATCAGATGTGTCTTTCCACATGGTTGTTTAAGAAATGAGAAGCAACTCATTGCACCAGTAAGGGTTAAATAACTTGTTGTCAGCTGAAAGATAATCGCCCATGCAGTACTTATCCAATAGAAGGCTCGGACCCATTTGCTTAGTTAAATCAAGAAGGCAACTTTTTCTTATTCATTTATATATATATACTGTATATATATATATATATATATATATATATATATATATATATATGGGTAGACCCCCCACCCCGCGTGTATGCTCTTAGCAATCGGGAGGTTGCTACATCTTTTTTAAAAGACACATTTTTTCAGAAGCAATGTGTATCTTTGCATAGGTACTTCTGCATATGTGGGCTCCTGCTCTGTGACTGACATCTGTACGTAGGCGAATGTGGTGCATATTTCAAATTGCATGGGGCTCTACAGGATGGGGGACGGGCTTAGCAAAAAAAAGTCATTTGACATATTGCCTGGATCATATAAGAGTACATCACTTTTCTGCATTTCTAGAAAAGCATGCTTAATTCCTGAAAGGGGGAAGACTCTAAATTGCTGCTCTGAATGTTTGAAGCTTAATATTATGTTTATGTTTATGTATTTAGCAGACGCTTTTGTCCAATAATAATTGGACTGAAACTGTTTTCAGCAGCAGCAATAACCACAGCAGACTTGGTAATTTCAAACATTTCATTATTTTCTCCACATTAATTTCGAAACAACCTCATAAACCAAAGAGTAAGAAAGAGCATGCTCGGGCATGCAATGATGTCACAACATGATGATGCCACTGGGTGCGAAGTATAAAACATACAGTAGCAGAGAGTTTGTTTTCATTCATAGACTCAGGGACATCTTGCTGTCCACTGAGAGGTAAAAGCTAGCGTTTATTTTACACTGCTCTCCATGTCTCATGTAGCCTCGTGTTGCTGGATAAGACACGAAAGGGAGAAACTCACGAACCGACACCAGATTGAGCAGGCTAAACAAACATGCTGAAAAAAACCCACAAATAAAAATCTCATCCGGCCCAAAAAGTGTCCGAAAAACGACACGGTAGAAACCCGGTTGTGTTCCCTTTGTGACTGGTCCAAAAGGGGAACTAGGAGAGGGACCAAACAGTGCATGCCAATTCAGAGTGAAGGGGGAGGTGAAGAGGTGAGGTCTTAATCTTCTCCTCTTAACCCACCCATGGGTGTTTCTCAGGGGTGGTAAAATAAAGTTTTAGGGGAAATAAATGAATAAATACGAGGCACTCAGCATTCTCTCTGTCTTGCAAACTACAAAATGTTACAAACCTTGAATAATAATTATGACACATCGACATATATAATTAGTGGTTATAACGTAACAGTCTCAAGGCTGTACAAAGGGGCAAGGCTGAATCCTCCTCAGCATATCAGCGGTTACTTTGTGTGTTTAATTTTCTGCGTGCGAATGTGTGAATTTTTATAAATTCAGGTGTGTGACAATGGATCTGTTTGGAGGTGAGGTGGCGCGGCGCTGATCATCTTCAGGATGGAGTGCATACAAACCAGGACAGAACCAAGTTGTTAAAGGGATAGAAAATGCACTTCTTCAAACTTCACACAGCCTCATGCAACGCATGTGTGCACGTTTGTGTAAGTTTATAGTGGAAACAAACGTAAATGAATGTTTAAATAAATAAAAATCATGACAGAGCCCTTAAAATGGATCTACTCTTGCAGCATAGTTTTGTATGTAGCGCATAGTGCCAATAGAGACTGAAAGGAGGGAGGGTTTAAAGTCAAAAGGGGGGGTTGGGATGGAGTGTGCGCCATGCTCTTGGCTAACATGATCTCCATGACAACCAGGAAACAAGGGTTTGCTATAACGGTTGGTAGAACGCTGCCTGTGCCGTCTTCACTCTGTCGGTGATGGACACCCATGCTTGTGTGTCCTGATTAAAGCTGCTCTCTTTACCGTTTCCCACTCACAAACGTCTTTGCTCGTATGTTGCAAGCAGAAAAGAAGTAATTAGAAACAAAAGATGTTTTTTGTAGAAACTGAAACAGGCTTCAACCGAAGCAAAAGTACCAGTAGCAACAATAGAAAGGTTCTGCTGTGTCCATCACTCAGGCTGCAGGCTCCAGTTGAAGACGTCCATCTCAGTTGTTATTAATATAATATATCAATATGTCTTTGTAGATAATACATGTATAAGCTTAAATAAAGAAGTGAATGAAAAGGATGGCTACTCCAATATTGAGTAAAATGACCATAACCACCAGAACAGAGCTGGAGCCCTAAAAGAGAAGAGAAGAGAGAAAAGAAAATTAGAACTAAAGCTGACCACAACCTGGTTTAACTCTTTAATACCACACACTAGATTTTTGGTTGTAGTTGACTTTATTTAATTTTATATTTCATTTGATGTGCATCCATATATTTTTTTGAGTTTATGTTTTGGTTTTGCTTGGTGTGTTTGTAATTTATTTTTCTGCATGCTTGATGCAAATATTGTTTGCTCTGTGTTGACGCATGATGTAAAACTGTGAATGAAGGTTAGACCCCAGGAAGATGAGATACTGTTTCAACAGTAGCTGATGGGGATCTAAATAAACAAACAAATGCCTGGTTGGTGTTTTTCTCATCTGTCATGTCTTCTGCACTCTGGTGGAAGTTGTAAGTACTGCAGATGGCAAATAATTAGTTATGTTAAATTATTATGCAATATGTCAGTTTTTCATCAATACAATGTGAAGAATTGGTTTTATCTGTAAACACTACAATTTTTCTGCTTGGTAGTTCATGGTGATGCACCGATATGAAATTTTTCGGTTGATACCGATATCCGATTTTAAGGTCACTGTTGTGGCCGATAACTGATATTTGCTGATATCGATATACTGACATTAATGCTTCTAAAATCAGCAGATTTTGTATAGAATAAAAATTATTAAAGCTGAATTTATGTTATTATGTACACACAACACACACATTTACGCTTTACAATCACTGTGACATGACTAAACAAATACACATCACCCCCTCACCCTCTGAAACAGGCTAACAAATGGTGACACGATGAAAAAAATATCGGTTGATAATATTGGCCCGTTTATTTATCGGACCAATGCCAATATGTTAAAAAATGACCATCATCGGCCGATACAGATATTGTTGCCGATATATTGTCCATCCCTCATTGTTCATGAATCGGGCATTAATGTTCATAATTTGTTTATATCTGAGTAAATCCAAGCAGTATTGTGGATCAGTTTTCATGACCAGTGTTATTAATATCCAAAATAGCTCATTTTAATTAACCTCCTGAAACCAGAATTTTTATTTGGTGTGAGTTATTTTAAGTTATTTCAGTTCAGTGAGACCTCATGACCATAAAATAATTTAGTAGTTCAAAATTAAACAAACAATGATGACAAATTTTCTAAAATAAATAGCTAAAACAAAAAAAGAAATCAAGATCATAAATTTAAATCAGGTGCCTAAGACACAAAAACAGGTCTGAGTAAGAGGACACAGGATCCCAGCCTTGAAAAAAAATCAAATGTAATTATGCAAATCCCTCTTAGAATACTAAATAATGTATGTTAGAGTTGAAAATAATTGTTAAAGGCTTATAATAGTTGTATACTATGCAACATTTTCATATTTTGGATCTTTTTTTTTTAATCTACCAAAATTATCCTTTACAGGTTATAGAAATGTGACCCCACCAACTGAACTTGAAGCTTTAATGAGCGTGCTGGTCCCAGGCCCTGTTGGACTTAGTGGGACTAACATGCCGGCGCTTGAGTCTGCCTTCAGCACGTTTCCTGCATGCTTTAGATTGTAAATGCAGCTGATATTTTTGATTTAGTGATGAACCGCTCCTGTAGAAGCCATTGAGGGCTGAGGAGACAGCTGTTAGATTAAAGTGTAAAAAGACGGATGAACAGCGAGGAGATTGCTTCCACTAACACAACAGTAGGGAGCTAAAAGCAAGCTAAAACTGTCTAGAATCCATTTAAAAGGGACATATTATACAAACTCACCTTTTGCATCCTCATGTGCTGCCATGTGAGTCTCTACTGCCTCTATATCTCTCCATAGCAGCTTCACACCCATCTCTAAACTTCCATTCATCTCCAAGATCTTGGAAAATGTTGTGGCTAAACAACTAACAGCTGCTCTTGATGAACATAACATCTATGACAGTTTCCAGTCAGGTTTTGGTAGAGCTCATTCTACCGAAACAGCTCTTCTTAGGGTCTCCAATGACCTTCTGACTCACAGTGATGGAGGGAACTGGGTTATGGTTAACCCTCTGTCAGGAATCTTTGTGACCTTTGACCCAGGTCTCACCCTGTATTCTCATGCCAGTTCTCTTGTTCGCTCTTCCTTCTTCTAGCTCAGGAACATTGCTAAGCTGAGTCAAATTCTGTCACATTCTGAACATGAGACTGTTATCCACACCTTCATCTCCTCACTCGGACCCCTCCTGTCCACTACACGTAAAAACGTTGTGAAACGGCAGAAAAAAGCTACTACGCAGCATTCAGCCACCTTTATGGTGGATGAGTTCCTTTCCACCGGCAGTGAAGTAGCGTAACGGGCTATTTTTTACATTTTTAGTAGTAATGCAGTTTACCCCTTCTACCACTAGATGGTGTTCGTACGTGTGGTCAGAGCTGTTCTTATATTTAGGAACATTTCTACGTACAAGTACAAATTCATAAATACCACACAATGCATAAAATCGGTTCTACACACAAAATACGCACAGATCTGTTTGTAGGTACGGTTAATAAATGAGGGCCCTGGACTGAGGCAGGCAGTACCTCTGTCTCCCTGAGGGGGGCGTATGTGAACTCTCAGTCTTGTGTTTGTTCTACTGTTGCCCTATTTTTTGAGGCAGAGACTGCAGGTATCATCAGCAAATACAAGCGATGGTCATGCAAATACCATATTTAGATTTTCTGTACTTATTTCTTGGGATTAGTCGTGGTTTTGTATGTGTGGACTCACTGAGTTTGTTTGGAGGGTGAGAAGCTCTCCTTCCTGCTCCAGAGTGATGGGTTGAGATTTTAGGGGTGGGGAGAGGGTGAGGTCCCTGTGCAGCGGCCTCTCCTCCAGCTCTGCCCCCACATTCAGGTTGTCCAGCATCTGTACTGAATCCACGGATCCTTCCCGGACTGGCCGAAGGCCTCGGGATCGCAGCCTGCTGTGTTTTTGGGTGGGGGACTCCTGACCCAACCCTTGAGTTGTCTGCGAATCTGGACAATGGAGCCTCATGTCAACTGTATAGTCATTGGTCCTCTCCTCATCCTGCGCCGTGAGGCGTGAGTGGGCAGGGCTCCAACGGAGGGTGCTTTCTGGAGTCCACGCTCCAGTGAGGCCATCTAGCCTTTGGTCAATTACTACATGCTCATTAATCTTGTGGTTGGAGGGGTTGTGCTGCTTTGGATGGTGGTTGGAGTAGACATGCTCTCGAGCATTGTAACTGGAAGAAATGTGGTCCTTCCCACTGTGATTGGAGTTGCTAAAATCCTGAAGCTTGTGATTGGAAGAAGCATGCTCAGAAGTCTTGTGATTGGACACGTTATGTTCCAAAGTTTTGTGATTGGATAAAATGTGCACCTGCGGCTTGTAGTTGGAAGAGGCATGCTCAAAGGCCTTGTGATTGGTGGAAGAATGATCCGATTTTTTGTGATTGGAGGACAGGTAGTTCCTTGACTTGTGATTGGAGGTGGCATGCTTGGACGGCTTTTGGTTGGACAAGGAGTGCTCCCACGTTCTGTGGGAGGAGGCGTGCTCCCAGGACTTGTGATTGGTCGAGGATTTCTCCCGCAGTTTGTGGTTGGACAAAGGGGTTTGCTCATAGCCGTTGGTCTGGCCCTCCTGCTCCTCAAGAAGCGAAGGTGTGGTGGAACGGCTGCTGCCTCCTTGGTCTGGATACATATCATCAGGCCAATTGTTGGCACCGGATCTTGGCAGATCCATCCCCCGCCCCTCCACCAACACCTGAATTTCAGCCCCGCCCTGATCGTCCACGGCACTCTGTCGCATAAAGCAAGCGTTTCTGGGCCGATGGGTGTGTTTTGGCGGTGTGTGAGGGGGCGAGGTAGGAACGCTCAGCACCGGGCTGAGATCAGGCGTTATCACAGGCGGCGTGGTGCCCGGAGTGCACAGCTCAGGACTCTCTGTTCCTGTGGAGATGACCTCATGGTCTTTGTCCTTGGCATCCTGGTGTTTGGGCGACTGACATTCGAGCCCTATGAGATCAGAAAAGCAGCCGTGAATTGATTTGGCATCAGTTCACAGCCAAAGTTTACAGTGTGAGTGTGTCTAAGTGTTACCAGCATGCAGGGTAACACAAGGAGGCCAGAGCTGCTAAATAAACTAGAATGGAGGTGTTGATACACAGAAAGCTGTGTTAGTAAAAAGCCTTTTTCATGTCTTCTAATCAAAACGTGTCCGAAAACAAATAACCCAGCAGACCTGCTGTCTAAATCAAGAAAATGAGTCATGCTTTAGTGTTTTTTTTTAAGTTACAACAGCCAAAGTAGGTTGTTCAGTTTTTTACTAATTAGCTGTAATAAAGAAGCTCTCTCTGGGAAGCTGGATCAAATGTAACTAGAAGAGTTTAAGGTGGAACAGTGAAAAGCTAAAAATGACAGAATTTTATTCCACATTTGATCACCATAGACTCAAAATACTTGGATAGAGAGGTAGAAACCCAGTGTGTATTTATGATCAAACCTGTTTAAGCATTGCATTAAATAAATCAGCACAGGAATTAAAAAAACAAAAGTCATTTTAAAAGTCATTAAACTAAATAAAAACAGCCCCATCTTCAACCGATGTGTTGACTCTTCTACAGAGGAAGGACATTTTCTTATACACTATTTACAAATACATAAAAATACCGCACATATCTAAAGCTAAGGTAAATTCCTATGTTTTGTTGCAACACACCACAGGGTAAAATGTTATTTTGTAGTTTCTGAAAGTTTTCAGTTTTTATTTGACATAAATTATAATTTAAATACATTATATTTTTGTAGTACAAATTTCAGAAGTTGGTTTGTTAATTATTTGGTGTATGTCCTAAAAAATGTTAAAGAAATGAAACCAAAGAGGCTAAATGAGATACGGTGTCATCAAAACTTTGCCATACTAAAAACAAACAAACAAAGGCATGTCCAGCGCCTCAGGACCCGGGTTGGAGACCCCTGCTTCACATGGAAGGAGCAAGATCTAAAACCTATTCCTGACACGGCCACTAGCACGAACTTATGAACAAAAGGTCAGTTTCTGCTGATAATTGCAAATAAATAGATTAATTAAAGAATTCAACTGAGGTGGAATAAATCAAATCTGATTATTTTCACGACAGATTGAACAGGGATGAAGTTATTAACTAAACAGGCAGGGAGATTTTTGCAGCACCAGTGTTTTTAAGCGTAACAAGGATATTAATGTTTTGTTTTTCTATTATAACTATACCTGTTTATTTTTAAAGATTGCCACATGAACGTTTGTCTCCGACAATTTCGGCAGCTTAACGCCTGAATTTGTTTTGAAATATAAAATTATTTTTCACTTGTGAATTTTCTTTCAGGTACATGCAGTATTTTAGTTGCATTTGCAGGTTTGATGCTATTTTGCGACAACCTGCATTAAGGGGTTAAACAGGTTTAGTCCCACTGCTCACTGCGGTTTGTTATTTCTTCATTTTATTTAGAGGCCGATATATCGGGCTGGTATAGTAATTTTTTTCTATATCAGCCATTGGCCAAAATTATTTTTAAAAGCTGATAAAAATAAATAAATAAATAAATAAATAAATAAATAAATAAATAAAATCAGGCACCTGTGTGGCTAACTGCTGCCACACAAGTACAAAAGGACCCGAAGGAACCCAACACAACATTTTTTTAATGTGTTGAGTTTGTTTTATATTTGAAGTTCAATAAATATTAAGACATTTATTGACTTATCTAATTTATATTTCAAACAGTGAGTGTTCAGGTGTCTTTCACAATCAATGTGCTGCTAAAACATAAATATATTGGCCTTAATAAAAATAAGATATTGGTCATGGGCAATGAAAATCTTTAAAAATCGGTATCGGCATCAGCCTTAGAAAAACCCATATCGGTTGGCCTCTAGTTTTATTCACTTACAACTATTTAGAGGATATTGTAGCATGTGGTGAGGAGGGAATTAAAATACTAAGATCCATGTTAATTTTAACAAAATTTACTTTTACAGCTTTAATAAACAGAAAAAGAAGTGTGTCTCACCATTTCCATAGATGTGAAAGGAGGGCGAGAGCTCTTTGGCAGCTATCCGAGCCAGTCGACACTCCTCCATGGATTTCTGAGCCACTCGTTCAGCAGCCTCAGCCTTCCCACGAGCATGGCTCATCCTGAACACAACAGGTACACATTTACACAAACCGTAGCGTTAGAATAATTCACTCTCTGTCTGAGAAGTTCTGTGTAACTTAGCTTTTTTTAAAGTGGCGGTGTGTATTTTCCCTCTCGGTAGGGGGCAGTACATACCTAAATCATTGCAAACAAGCAGTATTATTGTGTTCGAGTAAGACCTTATCATTGGATGGCCGGTAAGGTCAAAAAGACTTTGGAGGGCAATTTTCGAACAAGTATTTCATCATAACGTTCAACCTCCAGCAAAATAACAAACACATCAAACTCCCTTTCATTACTGGAAATAAGTGAAGAGGTAAATGTGTAAAACAACGTTCATGAATGGCGAAGGCTTTGAAACCATTTGCTAAAAATCAGTAAATGTGTTTTTTCCTCACGGGCTCCATGGTGTCTATAAGGGCCCAGAGACTTAGACCTGCTCCCATATGTTTTAGAACTGGTTATATGTTATGAAGCTGCCAATATTCTTCAACAACATAATTTAATTCAGTTTCAACAACATTTCGATGGATATTGCCTGAGATTGTTGATAAAAAGACTTTCTGTTCTACTTCTTTCTTAGACATTTTAATAACTTGAGAAAAATGTGATAATTCAAGATTAAAAAGATTCAAGATCATTTTGTTGTCATTGCACAGGTGTGCAGCAAAATTGACTTTGCGTTTATTAAAGACAGCTCACAGAAAGAGGTGATAAAATACAAATAAAATAAAATAACAAGGCTAAAATAGAAGTCATACACATACTCGCTTGCTTGCTCTCCGTCTGTCACACACACACACACACACACACACACACACACACACACACACACACACACACACACACACACACACACACACACACACACACACACACACACACACACACACACACACACACACAACCATCTTTTGCATATACAGGTGCTGGCCAGTAAATTAGAATATCATCAAAAGGTTGAAAATATTTCAGTAATTCCATTCAAAACGTGAAACTTGTACATTATATTCATGCAATGCACACAGACCAATGTATTTCCAATGTTCATTACATTTAAATTTGATATTTATAGGTGACAACCAATGAAAACATCAAATCTGGTATCTCAGAAAATTAGAATATTCTAAAGGCCAATGAAAAAATGTTTGTTTCTCTAATGTTGGCCAACTGAAAAGAATGAACATGAAAAGAATGTGCATGTATAGCACTCAATACTTAGTCGGGGCTCCTTTTGCCTCAATAACTGCAGTAATGCGGCGTGGCATGGACTCGATCAGTCTGTGGCACTGCTCAGGTGTTATGAGAGCCCAGGTTGCTCTGATAGTCGTCTTCAGCTCCTCTGCATTGTTGGGTCTAGCGTATTGCATCCTCCGCTTCACAATACCCCATAGATTTTCTATGGGGTTAAGGTCAGGCGAGTTTGCTGGCCAATCAAGGACAGGGATACCATGGTCCTTGAACCAGGTGCTGGTGGTTTTGGCACTGTGTGCAGGTGCCAAGTCCTGTTGAAAGGTGAAGTCTGCATCCCCATAAAGTTGGTCAGCAGCAGGAAGCATGAAGTGCTCTAAAACTTCCTGGTAGACGGCTGCATTGACCCTGGACCTCAGGAAACAGAGTGGGCCAACACCGGCAGATGACATGGCACCCCACACCATCACTGACGGTGGAAACTTTACACTGGACCTCATGCAACGTGGATTCTGTGCTTCTCCGCTCTTCCTCCAGACTCTGGGTCCTTGATTTCCAAAGGAAATGCAGAACTTGCTTTCATCAGAAAACATAACTTTGGACCACTCAGCATCAGTCCAGTCCTTTTTGTCCTTGGCCCAGGCGAGACGCTTCTTGCGCTGTTTCTTGTTCAAGAGTGGCTTGACACACGGAATGCGACACCTGAATCCCATGTCTTTCATGAGTCTCCTCGTGGTGGTTCTTGAAGCGCTGACTCCAGCTGCAGTCCACTCTTTGTGGATCTCCCCCACATTTTTGAATGGGTTTGTCGTCACAATTCTCTGCAGGGTGCGGTTATCCCTAGAGCTTGTACACTTTTTTCTACCACATTTTTTCCGTCCCTTCGCCTGTCTGTTAATGTGCTTGGACACAGAGCTCTGCGAACAGCCAGCTTCTTTAGCAATCACCTTTTGTGTCTTGCCCTCCTTGTGCAAGGTGTCAATGATTGTCTTTTGGACAGCTGTTAAGTCAGAAGTCTTCCCCATGATTGTGGTGCCTTCAAAACAAGACTGAGGGACCTTTTAAAGGCCTTTGCAGGTGTTTTGAGTAAATCAGCTGATTAGAGTGGCAGCAGGTGTCTTCTATATTCAGCCTTTTCAGAATATTCTAATTTTTTGAGATACCAAATTTGGAGTTTTCATTAGTTGTCACTTATGAATATCAAATTTAAATGTAATGAACATTGGAAATACATTGGTCTGTGTGCATTGCATGAATATAATGTACAAGTTTCACGTTTTGAATGGAATTACTGAAATATTTTCAACCTTTTGATGATATTCTAATTTACTGGCCAGCACCTGTACAGCCAGTTTAAGGTGAAAACAGTTTAGAAGTATAAATGTAAACATGGTAATTAAACAAGTCTAAATTATAAAGTGAAAAATAAAGTAAACATAATATAAATGTAAACAGCCACTCGTTGACGTATCTGGATAAAGGTGCTGTAGTGCACTACGGTAACTGTCCAGCAGAATCACTGTTGTTTGTGATTTTTGTTTGTGATGTTTGTGCCCAGGAAATAGAACTGTGACACCCTTATTGGGAGTCACTGGTGCTCCACCTTTCTCCTTCTTGGGTCAATGATGATTTGTTTGGTTTCGTTGGTGTTCAGAGTCAGGTTGTTACTGTCCACCAGCTGCTGCACTTCTTCCCTTTACACTGACTCTTTCCATCTGCCGTTAGACTTGTGAATAGATTATAAACACACAACCATGCTCGTCTTCTGTACTCGACACAACGTCACGTTATCGGCCATGTTACCATTACCTGCCATGTTACCATTGCCTGCCATTTTTTATCACTGAAAGTTTTATTCTATTTTTTTTATTATATTTTATTCTATTTTATTCTATTTTTAATCTTATTATTCATGTTATATGTAGCACATTAGTACCGAAGCAAGTTCCTAGTTTGTGAATTGTTTGTTCACTGACATTGGCAATAAACCTATTCTGATTCTGATTCTGATTCTGATTTCCTTGGTTGATTAGGCCTACCACAGTTGTATCCTCAGCAAACTTAATGATAGTGTTGGTGTTGTGGGTAGGCTTGTGTGTACGGGGAGTACAGGAAGGGACTCAGCACACAGCCTTGTGGGGCTCCTCTGCTGAGGGAAAGGGAGGAGGAATGGTGGTGGCCTAACTTAACAGACTGTGGTTGGTTTGTTAGAAAGTCTTGTATCTCAGAGGCAGATGTTGTGCTCTAGACCAGCCTTTCTCAAATGGGGGTACGCGTACCCCTGGGGGTATGTAAAGAAACTCCAGGGGGTACATCAGAGAAGCAGACTGTGTCTAAAAAAGAGCTTGATCACAGCAGTTGCCTCCCTGCCACCAAGGATGAAAAAGATCCTCAGTGAAGCACAAGCCCAAGTGTCTCACTAAAGTCTGTAAAAACACTCTGATCAGTGCAGTAATGTTAAGATTTCAGTCTTCTTTTTGATTTTTAAAAATATATTTTGAGATTTACATTTGTTTTTAGCAATTGTTATTTAAAATGACGTTGATGATTTCTTTTAGAGAACAGATATACTATGATCCCAAAAGAGAACACTTTATGTTGATGTGCTTTTTATGAGCACAAATCTTTAATTATAATTAGCTTAATCATTTCTTTGGCCTGTATTTGATATATATATTTTTAAATATTTCTAGTTATATATATATTTTTTCCAAATAGTTCAAGAGATACTACAAAAAATGTGCAGTGTTTTGCACATTTATGGATTTTTCAATGGGTAATCTTATGGTTTTAAATAGTTTTATGGTGACTGTTTTCAATTAATTAATTAGAATCACATTTTAGTGATGAAAAATATTTCCAATACATTTAGTTATGGAGTATTAACATTTAAAATATTCAAAATAGTTTTTTTCCCCCAAATGGTTGAATTTTGTACTTGTTTATCAGTTTCAAAGTTGAATAAATCAGTCACTGAAGGCACCTATTTAAAGAGCAAGTCACCCCCAAATCAACTTTTTTTTTCTGATAAACTATATAAATGTGTGTCTAATCGTGCTGCAGCACGTGTAGTCAATAGTTTTGCACTTTGGTGCATTTTAGTTAAAATTTAAATGTTCTGCCTTAAACTGTCAGTGTTGTGCCGTTGTCAGGTAAAAACTCTTCACTGCATTTGAATTTAAATCTGCCACCGCTATTGGCTAAGAGGTATGCTATGATGTAAACTGGTACATTATGATGTCACAATGTCGTGAGTGTGTGTATTTGTTAGTGGCTCCACCCTCTCGGTCTGCTAGGCAACAGCATTTGTTGCATTTTTCAAACATGAAGTGGGAGTGAAGTACGCTTCTTGTAAGGGGTGACTGGCTCTTTAAGGTCTTGTTTTTTACAACCAAAAATGTTTTTGCGCTGATTAGGGGTACTTGGTTGAAAAACATATTTCACAGGGGTACATCAGTGAAAAAAGGTTGAGTACCACTGCTCTAGACCAAGGTCAGACAGCTTGTGGAATACTCTGCTGGGGAGAATGTTGTTGAATGCAGAGCAGTAGTCCACAAATAGCAGCCTTACAAACGTATCTGGCTGGCTAACAGAACCTTCAGTGTTTCATTGGGGAATTTTACTTCCTCTTATGCGTCTTTCTCTTTTGGGGTTCCCCAGGGTTCTGTATTGGGCCCATTGTTGTTTTCTTTGTATCTGCTACCTCTTGGCTAGATTTTTAAGAAACATGGGTGTCATTTTCACTGCTATGCAGATGATACCCAGGTATACATGCCTTTTAAGAGGGGCCACAATAATGCTTTGTGGT